TCTAGAATGAACACAAATTATAACACCAAAACATAAATGTTTAGACTAAATAGCTTAAATCCTTGGACCGAAAGGTCCCATTTAAAAATACAAGGTAAAAAGGACGGTATGTGACGAACAGTAAGATGGGAAGGACAATAACCCCTAAGGAAAGACCAACAGTGGCACGTGTTCCACTTATGCTGTAAAACTGTTATGGAGGAAGAACGAACAGGAGGGGAAATGATGAAAGCTACATGTGAAAGTCCATCCATTCAGGCAAGGGACCAGATAAAGCCATATGTGAAAATGGAGTGCTGGTATGGACAGATGATACACAGTTGAGCATCCAGATAATATAAATTTAAAACAGTGGAATAAATATATAAGTTTAAAAGTTTTTCTTTTCTATTCCTTTCATCTGTGAATTGTGAAAGTATTTTTGTGTTAAGTTATATCTGCTTGAAAGGTACAGACATTTTCTTCAATGAGAAGACATTACTTAACATGAAATAAGGTAAGCTTATAGTTTAAGAAACAAGTTGAATGAGCAACAGAGAAAACTTTATTAAAAGTTTAACACAGTAACAAGTGTACAATGTTAGGAAAAGGTTTTCATCCTCATGAAGTTTAAGTAGTTTACCTAGACATAGGAAAGGAAATAAATAAATAAATAGATTACAAACTATTGATTACATTAATTGTTTATAGGCAATTAAATCAGCACTATAAAACAATGATGAATTAAATATCAAAATACCATTATCGGTCCTGGTTGTCAACTTATTGTCATAACTGATAATGTCTGTGGTAATCTCACCTATCAGACAATATCCAAATGCCGAAGTCAATTTAGTTAGCTGTCATGGAAAAAAGAAAATCAAATAAGGGTACAAAGCTGAGTGCTTACAGCCACAATGTCTCAGCTTCTACTACCTTTCACTGTCTATAGCCAGTTGTGGGAAGGCAGCTACCATTAAATGTCTTAAAGTAAAAATGAATTGAAATAAAGCCACCCTAATATTTCTACTAATTAAACTCCCAATCTCTACCCTTACAAAGAGATTTTAAATTGAATTAAAAGATATTAAATAGAACTATACACCCTACGTTAAAAGTTCTTATATAGTTCTAACTCCCAACCTCCTCCCTTTCTCCTGAAGTTTTATTCAAGTATAACATGGGAATGCCGAGACAAGCCCAGCTAATTGAAGTTAGTTATTCCATCCGAGTTATACTGAATAAAATTACTAGAAAATTATTATTAGCTACTTATAAGCTAAATTAACTAATTCCCTCTTTATTTTATTTCTAACATATTTTCATTAACTGATAGTTTAGTTTCTAAAATACTTTTTTATTTATTAAAAAATAATGTATTTCTTTAATTGCTCGTCTCTATAGCAATTATTATTCAATTTATTTTTTAATAATAAAACATTATCCATAAAAAAAAATTGTTATTATATACTATTAAGAACCATTTTAGTTGAGATATAATAATACCTTTTAACACAATACACACATGGAATAACACTATTAGGTGTGGGTAGACCAAGAATGGGAAATATATCTTTTATCAAAAAATAGTCAACTATAAAAGTAATGTCC